TTTTGTGATTTTGGCCTGGAACGTCTTTGATCGAGATGCTTTGCTTATTTTTAGCTGTTTTGGTATAACTTCAAATTGTCCTGAATAAGGCAGACAGCCACACAACCGGAGTTGTTCCACAACTAAATGCAACGAGACAAGCTCATCGTTTATGTCAAAATATGTCCGTAAAAGAAATAATTTTAGTCATTGGAGTGTATAAACTCAAGTTTTGCATTTTGCAAGAGTTTATATTGTTCTTTCGAAAATTTCTCCAAAGACATTTCCTCTACAGTCACCTTCAGCCTCAGGTGTCTCTTAGCCTCAACGTTCTTATGAAAAAAAAAAAAAAACGTTCTGACAAAAACAAACCACAAAAAAGAGTATTAGCAAGAATATCTACATCATGGCTACTGACTTTATTGCAAGATTACTTTTGATATGAGTTGCTTTTTTATGTGTTCCGAGGACTTTTTCGTTCTGTGCAGTGGTTGGCATCTAAAAATAAGTTCGGCTCTGTGGGTGAACTTTATTTTTTTTAATTAATGACGAAAAGTAATTAGTACACTTTGTCTACAGTCTTTGACCGATTTATCGACCACCCTCATTTAGGTTCAAGGACTGATGGAATTTGATTGTTATACTCCTGGCAGAACCTTTTGGCTTTGTTGTTTTGACTGAAGAATGGCCCATGCATTCAGTCTGACAGGAGCAAGAAAACATCAACGCGTGAAAATTAATGTTCAGAACTGAGTGGCACTCTATTGAAAAATTGAAATACGCGATATTGAACGGTGATTGACGTCAATTTGGCCTTTAGCTAATTGAAATTAAGAGCTAGGGGAGTCTTTGGCACACTATACAAACAAGTATTTGTGCTTTGAACTCGTCCTATCAGTTGAAAAAAAATTTGAACTGTACAAAGTGTGAAAACGTTGTCAAAATTAAATCAAAAGTTGAATGTAATAACCATTACCCATTACCAATACATAACCCATGGGGGCCAACGCACATAGTAAGTGGACTGAAATTGGAACATGATATTGATCTTGCATATAACGCTCATCTACATGACCTTGCTTTCCAAATCTATTCTTAATAATTTGTAATGTCGGGCTCTTTTACTACATCTGTGATACTCCAAATAATGGGAAAACAAAGTGATTTTCATCTCGGCTTCTTCCAAATAGTAGGTGCATGACGGGATTTCACAGTTGTTACAAAACTAATAAATGATTAAAAGAGTTAATATGGTTTTGGGGGATGCTGTCTCAAAATTAGAGACCCTTGTAAGGATTTTGAACCAACATTTTGGTCCATAACTTTTAACAAATGAATCAATACTTAAGACTACGTAGTACTCATGAGTTGCTTTCTTATCCTGTAAATAGTTCTTAAATATTCTAATTTTTATTTTTTAACTGTAAAGAGGTTTATATATTTTTACTACGTATTATTTATTTATTTATTTATTTATGTTTCTTGATGTAAAGCATTTGAAATAATAAGCAATCGAATTTGCTCTGACGCTTTCTCAAAGTATTGAGATGGCTCTCATTCAGTAGGTGGTTACTGCCGTGAGCTTCAAAAAAATGATTCGCAGTTGCCGAGTATTTGTGTTCAGCAACGCGTTGAAAAAGGTGGCGGGCTGTATAGCCCACATAATCTGCGTCGCACAGATCACATGAAAAATGGTACACAACGCATTGCTGATTAACAATAGACGGCTTAACTTCTCTACGCTTAAGGTCTTGTTCTAATTTCCTGCTCACAAGAACAGGTTGTAATGTAGGGCCAATCTTATGACTAAGGTCGCGAAATTGCCAGCGAACCACATTGGCAGCTACTTGATCCTCAAAAGGCCGGGAAGACAATTCTGATCTTACAACTGCTTTCGGTTTTCATTTCTACTACCTGTTCTGATACATTACGAAGAAAATTACTAATAATGAAATCTATGAGAACCCTGGGATATTCTAAGCGACTGAAAATAGAGCGCAATTTCTCGCATTCAAAAATTGAAAGCTTCTGCTGTGGAAGATAAAGCATAAGCGCGGTTCAACATTAAGCACGGTGTAACATTGTCTGTCTTTAATATACTGAGAGTCTTTGTAGCATTTATCAGTGTGGTTATGAAAATGTAAGAGTAAGCTAGTGTTTGCTGGTTTCCTGTAAACTTGAGTTTCAAGTGTAGTTCCACTCTTGACAATTTCAATGCCAATTAAGGTGGCCTACTACAGTTTTTCTGAGACTCAATAGCGCGCGCTACGATTGCCTGCCAGACGTCAGTATCAATCGCGCTTGCAAAAATGGCGCAAGTAACCCCAAGAAGAAACGAAAACCATTTTAGCACTTGAAAGGCCTTTAATCACTTCGGTATACGTAGCAATAGTTTCAAACTCCGTTCAAACAAGCCTAGGGCCAAAAAATATGAGAAAAAAAGCTCTATAAATAACCGGTATAAGAGCTCTAATTTACTCTTGCTTTCTCGCACGCGATACATGACGTCACATGAGCGCGCGCTTTATAAAGGGCATGCGCAATTCAATTCTCGTCCTAGGTTGTAAAAGCCAGTCTTTGATTGAGGATTGCTCGAAAACCTACCGTACAACCCATGATGAATTTTTAACAGTTGATTTGTAGGGGTGAATCATGTTTAGAGCCAAAATGTTTAAAAAATCTGTAAGACAGATTTTGAGCTATTGTTGATCTCACATTTTCTTAGTTTGCGAAAAATCTGTCAAACAGATTTTTATTTTACTTTGCATGAATGTTAAATCAGGGCCAATTTCTTATTCCTGAAATTTTGAGGTCATATGGGTAGATTTTGAGAAAAACGTGATTTAACCTAGTAGTACCCAGTCTCTTCTTAGGTACTCGTTCGTTCATTTTGGCCATTTGTTGACGTTGAATGGCAAAAGACTCGAGCAAACAGTAAATAAAGAAAGGAAAAACATCTTGGAACATTTTTGAAAAGAGTTACAAGTTGGGCTGTTATAGTCCATCAAAACTGTAGTAAGCCACATTAAGGGAATCTTATCACTGATATGGGGCTCCATTGTAAATTCCATGCTGGGGTGCAGGCCATTGAGAGTAGTGAGATAGGGAAAGAAGCCTCAGTGCCAGGCATTTTAGCCAGGGTATCATCCACGTACCGTTTGTACCGGTCAGGCATCAAACCATCGCGAGAGAGCGTATTTTCCAGGTGGTACTTAAAACATTGGCCATTAGAGGGCCCAGAGGGGAACCTATACACCCATACACCTTAATAGTATCAAACTTGGTCAAATGCACAGCGTGATCGTTGATGTGGTGGTGTCAGTTTATCAATTCGTTAGAAGTTGAAACTTGCCTCAGTTCTAAAATGGCCTTTTTGAAGCCCTCAAGAGGTATCCAGTTATCAGTATATCGGAAATATCGTTCTATACCTTTTTGACCCAACGTTTGTACGATGTAACAAGTACAGGGAAACCTTTATTTTAAGCGAGACTCGGTTAAGCGGACACCCTTTATTAAGCGGACACTAGGTTCGGTCTCGAAATTAGCTTCTTGTGTTTGCTTTAATAACAAACCAATTGAAACATGATAATTCCATGCAGTTGAAAGGACACAGTAAACAACATTGTTGCTCAGGATGCCTGGGTAACAATCTGGAATGTTATTGTGGGGAAACTGTTGAATGTTAATCGTCCCGAAGGTGTTTGCTAAGGGCTTCACTATAGCTGATGTCACACGTTTTTGTACTATAGTAACAAGGCACTCATAGCAAAGCGACTAGGTAAATTTAATATGCTTAATATGTAATATGTATGCTTAATATGTACTGTCAAAGTTTGTTTTAGAGTAACAAGAAATCAGAAAGAATAAGACTAAGAAACCAAGCCTTATAAAACTGTGATCCAAGGGCCGCTTGTGTTTTATATTGTCCTCTGTAAAGTGCCTATGATGCGAAATTATTTTCGACATAATTTAAAAAAATACTGCTTGAAATGCGCAATTTAAAAATTCAAAAATTTGAGAAGTTTAGGATAAAAATTGTTGATTAATACAAGCGCGCAAAGTTAAGCTTTTTTACATTCAGACACAGCATTCGAATCGTGGGCCCAAAACGTCACGTGACATCAACGTGTGAAGTCAGTTTGTGTGACAGAGATCGAGCCAATATGGCCGAAAGGTAGATAGCAGAGTAAAAGGGAGGTTACGCCAGGGGATTACAATGCACCAGTTTCCAACTGATCCGATTTTGAGAGGAAAATTGATTCAGTTTGTTCGAAGACATCGAGCGAATTTCAATCCTACTTCCATGAAAACGTCGTTATGTTATGCTCATTTTCAAGCTTGTGCTACGAGAGCCCCAGGGAACTTCCTGAGGGTTCAAAGCTGCGGTCTCTTTTGAAAAAGGGATCCATTTCTTCTACAGATACTCTTGCCCCTTAAAATAGGCAGATGCCGTAGAAAATGCACTAAGATTGACACAGAGACCGAGAAATGTACATTAACTAAGGGTTCGTGAATTCAAGTTTGTGTGTGGCACTCAGAGAACCAAAGCTTTGCTATATTGTCAGCAGCTTGGGCCTTTTGGGGACCTTAAAAAACCAAACGTGGTTATTTAGATGCAAAATTTGCCCTTGATTGGATTGCTTTTCAACCTAGTAACGTACTAATGTACATTTCGGACAGCATTCTGTAAAACCGCGTAGGGAACTGATGTCAATACTGAGATTGTTAAATGGAAAAATTTGTCGAAAGCTTTAATGCCCCTTTTCTGTTGAAATGATATGTTATAAGAGAAGCAAACACCGAGAAATTGATGTAGGGCGTGATTCTTCAATTAACGTCACTGTGCATTGATTTCTGCTGTCACGTCAAAGCGTGACGCAAATTACCATCTGTCATCTCTGATCTCTTTTTTCGGAACAGTTGGGGCAATTTGACCATAATCAGTTGTGTAGTCCAAAGAACCTGATTTCTTTAGAAACTGTCTCCAGATAAAGTTCACACATAGATCATTGAAATAAAAAATATATATATATTAATATTATAAATAAAGAAAAATAGAAGTGGTTTCACACAATCGTAGGAGTGCTCGATACAAATACATGTAGAGCGAAATACAAATTAAGATAGAAACTACAGTTACTCTGTCTTCTGTCAGACACAAATTGGAGCGTGACGAGGTTCCCTTGTACGGACTTGCTCGCGTTACAATAGACCTCTTGATCGAGAAATCAGTGTTATTGTCTTTCAAGTCCCAGATATAGTTGGACAGGACAGTGTCATGTGAATGCTTGCGATGTTTAAATGAAAGCTTGTGATTATTGTATCTAGTTTTGAAGCTGTGACAGAAAAACGCTACATTCTATCTAAGGGCAAATCTACACCTCTAAACAAAATATCTGAACTTGTAACAAAATGCAGGCACGTGAATAAGTTCTATGCAGCCAATCAGAAGCAGGATCGCTCCGTACTCCGTTCAAAAATTAGTTTCAATTTAGTTTAAACCGTCGCACAGTCTGATGATCGCTTTAAGCGTGAAACCCGAGTAACTGTAGTTTCTATCTTAATTTTTATTTTAACATTATATAAATTGGCTATTTTTTTTACAATATTTACTTCAAAATTATCGAACCTTTGCCTGAAATATGTACAATTTAATAACAAGAGAGTAAATAAGATTGTGGGACGAAGGTGTAGAGTGGTTCACTGGAAAAACACAGCAATTTTAAGACCCGGCTGCAATCTTTACAGGGCGTCTGTTACCTGAGGAGAGAAAATATTAAACTGGATTCAATTTATTTTGCATTGGCTTATTACAAATACAACCTTAAGAAGGTAAATCTGATTAAACTCTCTGGAACAGCTCATGAATCCTGACAGTTATATTTCAGATTTTTATAGGAAACTGACAAAAATATTTCGTTTGAAAAACTGCGTTTTGCTACTGTCAGTAGATAATTTACCCGTTAAATTTTGTTCAGGTTTACCCCGTTCAAAGTCTTTCGATTTTCTGATTGCTTTCCAAAAGAGGAGTTTGACTTAACAAGATCATTTAGCGTCAAAAGGATAATTAGACATGGCAAGTCCATTAGTGTTCTCAGTACAAGTTTCTTTGACTTGTTCGTAGTTGTACCATGAAAATTACGATATTTCCAAGAATACCAAAATGCATTTTACAGCTCATCTAGGTAACAAAATTATCAAAATTAAACCAAAACGCTAAGTAGAGCAAAAGGTATCAACATTAGAAACACACGAATTTACCAAATGCACAAGATGTAAAAAGATATATATATATGTGTGTATATATATTTATTACAGCTGTTTTTCATGTTAAGCACCTGGTTGTTGTTCATACTAATTATATTTATCATCAAGTTAATTTGGGCTCTGAATGAATGCTTTACGTGAATGCAAGAAGAACTTTCATCTTAGCTCGCTTAGAAGAGATTTGGATAGGTGCAATATAAATATCTATTATTATTATTATTATTATTATTACTATTATTATTAAGGTGCGTCCTAGTTATTTCCTAGTTTAATTTTGGACATCAGAAATGGTGCGGTGGCCCATATATGCAATGCACATATATTTATTTCAGTGCAAAATAAATTCTTCTCAGTGCACAAATGTAGTCTTTCAGTGAAATTTTTCTTTTAGTACACAAATACAACTTATCAGTGTGCAGTATTGTTTTCAGTGCGAGAATAGAATTTGTCAGTGCACAAAAGTTTTCCCAGTCCACAAAAATAGCCGGTGCACAAACGTTGCTTCAGTGCACAAAAGTTGCCTCAGTGTACAAAAGCTACCTCAGTGCACAAATATAAGTTGCAATGAAAATGTAATTTGTCAGTGCACAGAGTTTTCTCAGTGAGTTCTCTATAGGCCAGTTGCTTTCTCGTGTTGGCGGCCATATTTGCTGTTCTATTCAAGACTCATTCTTGTGAATCAGGAGAATCTTGAAACAGAAATGTGTATGTGAACTCTTCAACAACGATTGCATCACATGAGGCTGAAGCGAAGAAATGTTTTGTAGAAAATACTGGAAGGACGTAGAGAAATAATCAACAACTTAAATGGGCCAGGATGTTCAGGTGGATATCGGTCACACTGGCACTCCCTCAGGTTGAAGGGTATTCAAGTACCACAAAGGATGGTTGAGGAGCTTTGTCGGGAGCTTGACCCCGCTGGCTCCCAAGAAAGGAAGGCATACCGCTTAAAGCGCGGTGAATACAGGAATCCTGGTCCAAATATTGCATGGCACACTGATGGATATGATAAACTGGAGCCATATGGTTTCTCCATACATGGGTGTATTGATGGATTCAGTCGAATAGTCATATGGCTGAAGGTCTCAAGAACAAACAATGATCCAGCAGTGATTGCAGGATTCTACCTTGGAGCGGTAGAAGAGTTAGATGGCTGCCCAGTTATCCTTAGAACAGATACTGGTACAGAGAACACAGTCATAGCAGCAGTTCAACGTTACCTTCGTTGTGATGGACAGGATGAACATGCAGGTGCAAAAGCCTATGTTTATGGACCGTCCCATTCAAACGAACGAATCGAATGCTGGTGGTCGTCTTTCAGAAAGTCACACTCAGATCGGTGGATGACCTTCTTTGTAAATTATCAAACTAAAAATGTGAAAGTTCAAATTTTTGTGCAACTGAATCAGTGTTTATAAATCATTTAGATATAAGTTCTTCCCAAATGATATGTTGGCACTAGAAATAATAACATCTACTGAAAGGTAAAAAATCCTTATCCACAATACATATTCCAGAATCAACTTTCGCAAAATTACCATCAACATAATAACAAGGAAACATAATAACAAGGAAACAATTAAACAGTGAAAAAGGTTCTTTCTATATGAAATATTTCTTAAAGACATTTATTCCTATTTTTTTTTATCTGCACATAATTAAAGTATGACACATTGTCATGGAAATAGCACACTTAGATTTTACTGAAGATGGCACCATTCATCAGTGCTGCGACAAGGTATCTGTAAATGGGATTATGTATTGTGGTTTCATTGACATACAAATACAGTGTGTTGAAACATGTTCATGCACTGGGTACTGATTTGGACTCATCATGTACAAAGTGGACGGAAAGAACAGAGTCAAAACCAGTGACAGGCACCTGTACAGCTCCTGTTGCAAACATAAGCAAATGATGGGCCGGGGAGTCAGTTGCGGTATGAACTTCACTTCCTCTCCTGTCAAATCATGGAACTGTTCTTGCATGACCTCAAGAGGTGTTCCATCTGGAAATAGTCACACATGTAACCAGTGAGAACTGTGGAAACTTAAGTACAGGAAGACCATCTTGTCATTTTAGAACATTTCTCTGTTTTCTGCATGAAACTGTGCAACAGTATCTAACACTATTCTTGTAATCACCACATGGCTCTGGACATTTCATGTTTTTGGTGTTCGATACATTCTCAATTGCGCCTTAACGTTAAATTACATTAATCAACGTCCTGATGTGTTTGGGGTCAGACCCAAAATTATTGTACTATACAAGAACGATAACAACAACTTGGTGTGGCTTAAAATGGGGACGTAAAATTTAAAAAGTCAGGTTATGTACTCCTGGATTTTTGGTACCTAAAGAAAACCTACCACCAAGGTGGTACACACACCGGTATAGAGGAGGGAGTTGGGCCTCTTCCCGGGGCCGACTGTGACCATTCCTGTGAAGAGAGGAGGGAGTTTGGCCTCCTCTCCGATTGAAGGGATTTGATATAGTTGGGCCTCCACTAACCTAGATGGAAGGTGCACAGACCGGAGGAGGGGAAAGTTGGGCCTCCCCTCCGGGTCAGCTGTGACCAATCGTGGCCTCCCTAGGGCCCCCACTAACCATAGTCTCAACACCTTAAAGTTAAAATTACAAATAATAATAGGCACCTTAAGATACCAGGACGGGACGAGTTAGGACGGCTACCGGAAGTAAATTTACTCAACCGGGCATGCGCACGAGAACTCTCGACTAATCTCTCTGCCGTCCTCGTCTCGTCGAGGACGTCATTTCCCCCGACTAGACGTCGTATCGAAAACGTGAGTATTTTACACTTGTTTTGCCGCGCTAACTGTTCCAAGCGACTTTATTTTCAGTTATATTTATAGGAATGTTTATAAGGTTCGCATTTTTTGTGATTGTAGTGTAGAATACTACGCCGACATACGAAAATGTTAATAAAAATATTCCTCGTCTGTTCGTTTGTGTTTCAGTCACTGTTCAGTCGCTGTCACGAATGTGCAAGCTCAATACAAACTGTATGCCTTGAGAATACATCAGTGTAAGTACAGCCGATAAATTAAAATGTTGTAAGAATGAATGCCAGGGAGCATCTATCGAGCAAATAGAATACACATTTTCAAACTGATGTTTAGTTGTTTTTTTACACTACCCATAACTTGATGCAACGTTTGTTTTATTTTCATACTGCTTGTCACAATTACAGATGGAAATTGAAATGTTCACCAAAAGTCAGGATTCTTCGGCGACAGAATTCTCAAACGCTCCGGTGGTAAAAAGTCATATGAAGCAGGTCGATCACATTGTTCGTTTAATTTGTTCATACGGAAATTCAGGTTTCTCTATTAAAACACTGACAGATGTTTGCTTCGCTTATAAAGAAAAATAAATTCAGCATCGCTGTTCGCTATCGTTTAAGCTTAACAGGATAAGATTTCTACCATCTTTTTTATAGTCTAAAGGATGTTTGAATTATTGACGTCGCCGTCCTTTGCGAAAATACACATCTTAAGGATTTTGTTCTTGGCGACACGACGGGACCCGCGAAAGTTTCCCGCGTCCACTGCCGTTCCCGTCCTGGCCTTCCCGTCCTCGTATCTTAAGGTCCCTAATTATTCAGTTGCAGTTTTAAATACAAACCATCCGTGCAGTTGACGAAATCGAGAAACTTTGCCAACACGATTTCCTGGGAACTTCTCCTGTTGCTCCCCTTCGGTCACAACTCTGGCTTTAATATTTTTTGCAGCATCTTTCATGTCATTTTGTTGCTTTTCTTGTGCTCAAAAAGGAAGCTTACCATGCTAGGATGTGTACGTACCACAACCATCTAGTATAAAGAGAACATGACAATTAAGACAACAAATAAAACATAAATAAATTTAGCAGATTGGCTTACTGACTAACTGATTCATGTATGGATGCATTCATTCAGTTGGTCTGTCAGTCAGTTAGTCATTTATTCACTATCGGGATGATTCAGTTAGGTTTTTACTAAGATTAGATTTTATGGTGACTGGAAAATGTGAAAGACTATTTTTGGGTTTGAAATACAAGAAATCGTGGGCTAGTATTTTTGACTCGTGGCTGATTAGGTATCGGAAAGGGGAAGAAATGCAGTTAACAATTGTCATGTAACAGTCAGTGACATTTACTCGTTATATTCAAGTTCATTAACTGTGAGTACCTCATAATTACTGAAGCCCTAATAGAGGTTGGTCCAGCATTGCTTTACACTGACCTAGTACATAGTAATGCGCCACCTCATCAACAAATATCTTTCTGTTGTTCACAGCAACGACAGCTGGTAATCCATCAATTTCAAAACGCTATTCAGACTCTTCCAGAATTTCGTTAAATTCCTCTTGATTTTCTGCTTGCAACAGCTACATTGGCAAGTGCAGAGAAGTAAAATAAGCACGATCGTCCAATCATAATTAGATATGTGCATTTTATGAAACATAAGTCCTCCATTTAAAGAGGAGGCCACATA